CCCCCCGGAGCAGAGCCCGGGCCCTGCTCGGAGCCCTCCCTGCACCCAGGGACAGCCAGGGCCGAGGGCCCCTCTGGGCTGGGGCTCCTCTGGAGGCTGAGCAGCCCCRGCTCCCTCAGCCTTTCCTGGGCACGGAGCTGCTCCCGGCCCTTCCTCATCTCCGCAGCCTCGGCCGGCCCCGCTCCAGGAGCTCCCTGTCCCTGCTGGGCTCCTCTGAGGGGCCACAGCTGGACACGGCACCCAGAGGAGCCTCCCGGGCTGGCACAGGGGCAGGATCCCTCCCTGACCCGCTGGGAATGCTCCTGATGCCCCCAGGATACCATTGTCCTCTCTGTCCCCACTGGTCAGGAACAGCTCATTGCCCACCAGGACACCCAGGTTCTTCTCCACAGAGCTTTTCGCCAGCAGGTCACCCCTTGCTCAGGCTGGTGCAGAACATTGTTKCAATATTCTTCATATTTCAGACTTCCTACTGGACAAAGATATTCAATTTAATGTATATCATGACAGCCATCTGGGAAATAAATAAAGCACTCTGTGTGAGAAAGATTTTGGGAGACTCTTCACCCATTATGTTAAACAAGATGTGCAACATTCTCAGCTTCCCAATCCTCCATCATGACCCTGTCCTCTTGCATGAGGTTTGACAAACTGGTATATAAATAGAAAATATTAAATATTGATTTTTTTAAATTATTTTATTTTTACAGATAAACCACTCTGACAAGACGAAGAACAGATACAATGGCTGGCCAGCTGAAATCCAAATAGAAGGCTGTATCCCAAGAAACCTGATCTGAACAAATGCGTCCCTCATTAATAAAGACAATTCTATATTTTTATATCTATGACTCCATTAAATTGTCTCCAGAACCCAATAAGTATCTGAACAATTGTAAAATAAGTCATATGCAGTTTTTAATCTTTCTTCCCTCTCTGTGGCTTTATTCTAATCTCAAAACAAATAGGTATTTTGATGAGMAGTGGAAAAAAATACTCTGGTTTAGAATTACAATGTTCAGGCAGTCAGTCATAAAATACCAGGATTTTTGGAAGTGAGTATACATTACCATTAACACTTTTAGGGGGTTGGTTTCATTTGTTTTTTTTTAGTATGTCTTCTCTTTTGGTTCCCTTTATATACTAATATGCAAATATAACTTAATCTAAATATAAAATCACAGGCAACAAAGCAAATTACTTTGATGTTAGTTTATTAGTAACATTACTTCTCTTCAGAGARAGTATGGAAAGAACAGTTGCATTTTTTGAGTTGGTTTTAGTGATGTTGACAACCCAGAATAGCAATACATAACATGACAACCCAGAATAGCTAACACATAAAGATCCAGTTACTTGAATTATTTTACCAAATTTAAGCTGCAAATCTACATAGTTTAATTATTTTTCTTCCTGTAAGTTTAACTTACTTTAAAAAATGTAGTGACTTCGTGCAAGCTTAAGTGTTGTTCATGTTCACTATAGAATCAAACATATTGTAAGGAAACTGTAGAAACAGTTATTCAATTTCCTTTTTTTTGAAGCACAGCAGGTGCCTGGATTGTTCTTAACTGCTGTTTGCCGCCCTGTTGTTCAGAAGTCTCCCACATGGCAGATCGAACAGCTTCAGTTGCTTCCTGCAGCAAACTTATTCTAATAATCCCCAAATACATGGAATTAACCCCAAAGGACYAATCCAATGACATGGAGAATAACTCATCACTATCCTTTTCAAGCCACTCCATTATGTGTCTGACTACCACCCTCATTAACTCCCTCCTCCCTAGACYGAACCCACCTGTACAAATCTTCCTTTACATTTTTCTCATCACTTAAACATTAGTTCTGTGGTTCCTGCCTGAAGAAGCCCCCTTTTGAAACTTCAAATGAAGCTTGGAAGCTTCAAATTTCCAACCATGTCTGCCACTTGTCACTGCTGCATTCCCAGCAGCTTTCTGGTGTTGTGTCCCTCACCAGTCCCTAAAGTTTCTTGCTGGTTTGCAAATGCTCCATAGCCCAGGGACACTGCCAAAAACCCATTTAAATTAGTTTGGYAGGCTCAGTGGTTGCTCCTTAGCACCTTGTTACTGGTGAGGTGGGTACAAACTGAATACTTTAATAGCTGTTTTCAATGTTTTTCCACATTAAGTCATTCTTCTTAATAATAATCATAATGTTTTCAGCTGGTGCTCGTGTTACTGGCAGGACATTTATTCCTTTGCATCGTAATCACCCTTTGCTACATGCCTGAATTATAAAAATAACATAATTACAGTGCTAATGGCTGGCAATCCTCAGAGTGCCAAGCTCTGAGGCAGCCCTTGAGCCTCTGTGCAGTCTGACAGTCACTGCCTTCTGCTCCAGGCCACAATTAATCTCACATCAATTACAATTAAATTGTACTCCAATTTCTGTTCAGCAGTTACCATGAAGTACAACGTTTTCACRTTTTACATTTGCTCTGTTCTTCACGCTCTGTGCAAGTGTTCTGCTCTTTGCAACAGTAAAAGCTGCATGCCTGTCCCCTGAATCAAAGATCAAACCACCCTGAGAACCTTTTACAGCACAAATTCCTGCAAAATAGTCCTTAACTCCATGGTGTTTTYGCTTTTTCAGAGATGAAGCTGAGACACCTGGACTGGATTGAAGCATGYTGATAATCTGCAGCGCTGAATAGTTATCATCAGGTTTGTTTTCATTTGTTCATGACCCAGTGCTTAAATATGTTAGGCAGAGGRCTCTCAAGTATTTTGGTAACCCTCTGATCTGAAGAAATCATGGAGAAATAATCACTTGCCACTTTTTCAATCACTTTTCAGATTAGAAACAATCTTGCAGAGCTGGTTTGACAGTGGGACTTCAACTCTGYGCCCACAACTTGAGCAATTTTAAAGGAACTGCCTCCTAGGAAGAAGTGAAAAGCTTTTTCATGGAATCCTAATCCTGAAAAATTAATCTGGGGGGAAAAAACCTGCAGCAGTGGAGGTCGATACTCTCCATTCCAGGTGACAATGTCAACCACAAGGAGCAGGCAGGAAGTGATTTCCTGCGTTCTCCTGSGCTGGGTAAGTGCTGGGAAATACCTCTGGGTGCTTCTTGCAGCACTTGAGGTCACCACYATGCAATAAGGTTCAAACCTGCACAGCAACCCATCTTTTTCTAACCCCAGTAGGCAAATCCCATGGGAAGCCATGAGTTTTAGGCAGTGACATTACTCAGAGCGTGAGTTTGTGGATTTAAAAGCGGGATGACACAGCAGGTGGCAGCAGTGGCTTTCCAGATCCTCTGCATCTCTAGAAATAGCCAACATTTCAGTGCTTTCCTGTCCTGGGCAGATGCTGGAAGCCACAGACAGGGGTAGAGGTCACCTTGGGTGGACACCAGCAGCTTTGTCCCTAACATCCCAGACCTTCCTTTCCTACACTGCCAGGGACAGGTTCCATTTCAAATATACCCAGCAGCAGCATTCCACACAAGAAGGTCCCTCATACCCCCCACCCATTTAGGAACACCTTTTAGATGCTCCCATTTTTACCTCCTGTGTGAACATGACAACCAATCCCATAAAGAACAAAATACCTGGACAGAGTTCCTTTTTTATCTCTCCATTTAAGAGCATGAGAAGCACTTCAGGGTCCTGACACATCTCTCAAAAATCCCTGGATCCCCTAGCAGTCCAATTTGATGGCAGCCGTAGGATATATTGATCAAATAATAGGTAACATTTTCAGTTTCTCAGTGGCAACTGTTTTTTCATGTTCTTTGTGCAGTGTTACCTAACTCAAAGTGGAAGGTTTCCACTATATTTTAAAGCAAAAYACAAGAAAGGAAAAGAGAGGTGAAAGATGCTCTTTTTTAGGCAGGCTGTGCTTAAAGGAAAACTCTGACCAAGTGCAATCCACCCAGCCAAGCAAAGAGAAGCTGATGCTTTTACTTAAACATAGTACCTGGAGGGAAGTAATATATGACTGTGATTTATGTGGTCTCTTCTTAGCTGCAGTGAAATGCTGAACAATGACTAGAATTCAGGGCATTGAGGTGGGTGGTTTTAATAATGTTTCAGTGACAGCAGTTCCTCATTTCTGGATACTCTGAAGTTTTGATTTCACTTCTCTGCTCTGGTGGTTTTTTTTTTTGTGGTTCTTTTTTTGTGTTGTGTTTTTGTTTTTATTTGGGTTGGGGAGGGCTTTTGTTGTTTTCTGTTTGGTTGGTTTGGTTTGGATTTTTGTTTTGTTTTGTTTTTCTTTCTGGGAGAGGTTTTCAGCAGCATAGGAAATGTAGCTTCTCCTCCAAAACATTTACACTAGCAGCTAGAATTTACACTAGCAGCTCCTTCTTCCAAAAATGAGAACATAGAACTTTAGCCTGTCCCAATTTCCATTGCAGGTCCCATTTAAAATAAAATAATTAAAAAAAAAAAAAAAATTAATGGCTGTGTTGTAGCCAAAAGCAATATATATTTCAACTTTGTACTTCACAGATAAGTGTTACATGGTTGTGGTCTTTATAGCTGCTTTCTATCCTCTAGGAATTCCCTAMCAGTGTTCTGAGGGAGGCTACTCTTGGCCACCCAGCCAGGGTGACAACACCAACAAATGATTCTTTAAAGAACCAAGGGACATCTCCAAATCAGCCACCCTTGTCCTTGTGGGGGAATTCAGCTTGGAGGGTGTACACTGGGAACACCACACAGCTGGTCCAAACAGCTCCAGGAGATTTCCAAAACATCTGGATGACAATTCCTTGGTACAGGGATTCGGGGATCTGACTTGAGAGGTGCCTCTGGGATTCGTTGCTTGTTCCCAGAGAGGCTCTCATGGCTGACGTGGGGATTTTCTTGGCCACAGAGACCGTGCAGCAGCCGAGTTCCAGAGCTCTGCTGCTTTACCTGCACCCATCTGGTTCCTGACGTGGACCAGGCACAGGTGAGCACGGCTGGAAAAGCAGCATCTTTTATTAGTTAATGTGTCCATGGCAAAGCTGTTGTCCCAAAATGGATTCTTTCACCCCATGGGCGAGAGGCTAATCCCCACACAGAGTTCAGGTATTTCCTTTATTTACAGTTCTGCACAGAAAGAGATGCTGGGTGGCAAATCCACAAATCCACAGTGACTATCAAAATTTTTCACTATTTATACATTTTAGTATAAAAGGTATTAATGTTCATTGTCTAACCGTTATATGGTTCTCTTAYTAATTTCATATATTATTTATTTTCTAAATTATTTTTCTATTTTTATAGTATAATATCTGTTTCTTTAGATGTTACATTTATATGTAAGCTGTAATGTCCTATATCATATGTTACATATAATATTCAAAATATATTATTTCTCAATATTTATATATAGACATTATAAACAATAAATAATACACAATATTTACATTTGTATCTTAAACTGATATTCTGGTTTTGTATTTATCAAACATCAATATAATCTTTTATCTTATTATTGACTAATATTGATCATTTGGTGCTAATTGTCTGGCTGAGCTCTCAGGCAGGGCCAGCGGAACAGCCCCYGCAGTGCCCGCATGAAGTGGGACAAATGTTCCCTGGGGACTGCTGGCGGCTGACTGAGGCGCCTGTCATGGCCCCGCAGGAGCTGGGGGGACTTGGGGTTTACCCAGATGGTGTGGATGGTGATCTGTTCCCAGTCCTCCTGCGGCTCCTCTTTGTCTCTCTTGTGTCCCCTTTGGGACAGCTCTGGGTCTTGTCTCACATCCCCTGTGGACAGCTCTTGGTCAGTGGAGCCTTCCCATTGGGAAAGCTCCTGGTATCTCTCACATTCCCATTGGTAAAGCTTTTGGAGACTCTCATTTCTCCATTGGAAAAGCTTTTTGTGTCCCRCATATTCCCAACAGAAAAGTTCTTGGACATTCTCATTTTCACATTGGGAAGGTTCCTGGTATGTCTCACATTCCCATTCATAGAGAAGGCTCCTGGTACCTCTCACATTCCCATTCATAGAGCTTGGGACACTCTCCTTTCCCCATTGGGAAGGCTCCTGAAATCTCTCATATTCCCAAGGGAACAGTTCTTGGACACTCTCAGTTCCCTATCAGGAAGATTCCTGGTATCTCCCATATTC